TCAGGGTCTGCCGGATGCAAGTCAGCTACAAAGCAGAGCAGTCCCTGCGTAGAACATGCTTGAGGTCGACTAGTGCAACCATAAGAATAACTAACTGCGTCTTTCTGAGGGGCGTCCTCGATACTAAAAAGCGTCAAATGTGATGCCTTGCGTTTGCTCGCCCACTTAGTCTGCAGTGCTTTGAATAAACGAAACAATTGTTGTAAATACCATAGCACGCGGTGCTCTTCACTTCTTGCGAAGGCCCTTGGTGCTTCTCTTTCTGAGAAAGTTACCTTTCGGGTCCTTCACACCGACGCGCTTGTTGTGCCTCAGCTTCCAGAGCTTTCTTCCAGATGTTGCAGGCAAACATTCTGGAGCCAGCTCATCTGGGTGCTTTGGCATTTTATTCAGTTGCGACTGCCGAGTTATAATCTCTCGCCTCTTTGCCTTTCTCTTACCCGTGGGAGCGCTCCGGGACCTGAAACAGGAAAACCGCAACATACACCCAACAATTTTAAGCGGTGCGACCGGTCAGACTAAACCCACGTCCAGCCCGCCACACATTGCAGCGGGATTTGATTTATAGCACTGCGCAGCCATGAGTAACCTACACTGCTGCTTTAAAGGACTTCAGGGGGTCGATGACTGGGCGGCGGCGAGGAGCACCATGAGACCCTTTCGTAGCTGCCGTTCCAGCTGTTTGCTGTTGGATCGCGAGTTGGATGGCTGTCATCTGAGGCAGCAATGATACAGAGAGCAAACGATAATAATATTCCTGCGTATACCTTTACACCACATTGTAAATATGCAGACATCTGTTACGCAGAAAATCTAGTGGGAATTTCGCACCAGTAGGATAGGCACCCGATTAGAGATTCACATATTCTACCAACAGGGAAAGATATTCATTCTCTGAAGTGTGGATGCTGAATAATGCGACTTCTGGATATTTGCCTGGGAGCTCACTTGTGTTGGACGCGTCTGAGAAAGAAGATAGTCAGGCAAGTGCCCCAATGTGCCCTTAGAAACGTTCATCTCCTGCAGCACGAAACACATTCCCAACCCCAGTGATCCCGATCAAAGAAATCTACTCAAGTGTAGTGCAAGTTTCGCAAAGTGTGCTAACGGGGGGAACGGGGGGGGAGGGGCCTTTTTGTAGCTAATTGTGCTATTCTTTATCTGATGCGAAGCAGGGCTGATGCGGCAACGCGTGTTGAATGATATGGGGAAAAGTAGAGACTCGTGCACTGTCGTAACTGCAACATCACTGTACCTTGAGCTGTTTGCATGCCCTCTTCAGCACTTCTCTATCCCTAGGATTCCTTTCAAAAAACTCCTTAAGCTTTCTTGAATTCAGCAACTGCTGCTGCAAGTCTCGTGCAACAGCCGCGGCAATGGCACGTTTGGTGATGCCTCGCCTCACATCCTCAACTCTGTAGCGGAAGCATTCGACGTCTTGCAGTTGCAGTGACAGCGGCGTGA